ATGCAAGTTGATTTCTTCAAAAAAGTTCAACCAGCTAGGCTTCACTTGCTTCCTGCACTCTGAAAGTGCCCTCTGTTTTGAAGTTCTGAGCAATTTCTCACACCAAATGCCAAAAGGGAGGTTTGGGAATCAGAAATTCAGTGGATTCCTGATCTAATCTAATTTCATGTAATCTAATCTAGTCTAATTTCATGGACTGCCACAGTACCAGGCCTATAACAAAGAGATTTCTTAAGCAGCCAAGATAGGTGCTACAAAATTTTTCTATTAAAACATATAACTTTTTAGAACAGTCCCTTAATCTTTTTTTAACATGTTTTCTTATAATTTACGTTCACTTATAACAAGTTAAGATGTCTGTTTTAAAACCCAAACTAGATTATAAAAACCCTGGTGCTTCCCCATGGCTTCCAGAGCCAGGTCATAGGTGATCGTGTCAGTGGAGGTCTGGGGCAACTCTAAGTGCTCTGGGAACTCCAACGCTGTGGCCATGAATGGGAGAGTGGACTTCCCAGAAAAGAAGCTAGCCCACCAGTGTCCCACGATGGTTTGGGGGAGACCGGGGTGGTGGGGGATGGCTTCCCCAGGGTATTCCGCACTTCCTCAGGAGCTGTTACTGGAAGTGGAACCAAGACAGAGTGGCTAGTAGTCGTGGGTGGCCACGAGCGAGCCACTGGAGGACATTTCTGCCGTGCTTTTGCTTGTGGGTTGGTGGAAACCTCGATGGCCCCTCGCAGGCCTCGGCACTTGATCACGGGTGGCGGGGACAGGGACGCTAGGCCATGGAGCCCATTTGCAGATGTGACCGCGAGCGACCGCTCCTCAACCCAGATGCGAAAGAGTTTCATTCCATTATTTATTTTAAAGATAGTGCTGTGTTTGTTAATTTTGATGAATAAAATATGGATCTTTTGCAGAAGAAAACCTTTAATTGTGTATTTCTGATGCTAGTCATTGCCTTGTAATCTGAAAATGTCATTAACAAAACCATTTACATATAAATAATGCTGAACAGGATGCTGTTTCAACAGACATAAACATGTGAGGAATATTCTTTGATTTACAACTGTATTTATTCCTTACAGAATCTGTTTGCAATATTCTCGTTGGCTTCATGATCAGTGCCAAGCTTCTGCTCAACATCCCAGACTTTCATCAAGCTAATATATCTGCCTCAGTGATTGTTCAACAGCTTACAGCTATGCAGAACAGTTTAACTGTATTTAAGAACATCTTTTGTATGATTTTGTCTCTTTTCCCCTTATTCACTTCTATAGTTCATTCTAACGAAATCATTGATTAGTCTGTGTTGATTATTCTTCTAAGAGGTAGATAGCCCAGTGTGTTTGATTTATTATATACCTATTAATAATCTTACCTTTTAATATTTGGGAATAAGGAGAGAGCAGAGGATAATAGCTTAATGTTCTGTTTTGGTTTGGCTTTTTGGTAAACCTCTTAGCCATTTAATATAAACTAGGATTCAGATGTGACAGTGTTAAATTGATACAGTGTTTGTGGTATGATTATATTTTGGAGACAAAGGAAAATAAGTTGAAAACCTTCATTTTATTATATAGTTTGTTTAGCATAGAGTTTAAAGAGAATTTTTGTTTGTACCATAACTCTTATTTATCAATACCAGCATGTCTAAGCCCAGACTTTCAGAGACCCTGGGATACCAAAAGTAAGATGTTAGAAGATAATTAATTCTTCATGATAGCAAAGCAGGAACATTCTGTACCCAGCCAATAAAGAGGGAAGCTCATACATGAAAACAGGTACTACATTGTGAACTAGAGGGCAAGCAGTGAGTTCTTTTAAAATGATGGTTGTTGGCTTTTCTTCTGCTTAAAATAAAAATAATGCATATTAATTGTAGAAAATTTAGAAAATACATATATAAAAATTGCTCAAAACTGTTACTAACATTTCAGTCTATTTCCTTCTAGTCTTTTTTCTGTGCATAAGTATTTTATAGTAAAACACATAAAATATGGACAGCTCAATATAAAGCATCATCAAACCCAAGACCAGAAAGAGAACATCTCAAATGATCCCTGTGTTGTCTCTTCCTAATCACAACTCACGTTTCCTCCTTGAGGATAGCTATTATTCTAACTTTTACAATAATCTTTTTCATGCTTTTCTTTATAGTTGCTCTATCTTCTGATATATGCCCAAGAGCTTAATATAGTTGAATTTTTCCAGTTTTTGAAGTTTATATAAATTAATTCATACTATCTTCTTTTGTGTCTTGCTTCCTTCACACATGATGTTTTTAAGATTTGTGTTTCTGAGTAAAGCTATAGTTCTTCTACCATTTTTTGTTTGTTTTTAATATAATGAATGCAAGTTATTTCCATTGCTGCATAGTATTCTGTTGTATAGATATACCAGTTTATTTTTCCAATCTTTTGATGATAAACATTGGACTTGTTTCTAATTTTTGTATACTATGAATAATTTAGCTATGAACGTTCTTGAACGTATGTTCTAGTACACATGTGCGTGTGTTTCTCCAAAGTCTATACCTAGCTGCAGAATTGCTTAGTCACAGAGTGTATATATGTTTCACTTTAGGTGATAGAGCTAAACTATTCCCAAAGAAGTTGTACCAATTTGGACTAAAGCCAGAGTATGTGAAAGTTCTCATTGCCAGCACTTTTACTCATAATAATTGTTCATGGAATTTAAAAAAGGAGATTAAAATATGACACCAGTAACAATTAGAGTGTTTTAATGAAGTTAAAGTATTCTAAGGTCTTTCTATTGCCCAGACAGCTGGTGGGTATGGTCACATGGTCTGAAATAAGGTAGTAGACATATACACAATGATGTTGCTAATTATCTTAAATATTAGTAGGTTAAACATTCCTGTTAAAAGACAAAGATTGTTTGAACTGAATTAAAAAGACACTAGCATCCACATACAAAAGAATGAAGTTGACCCCCTACCTCATACCATATACAAAAATTAACTCAAAATGTATCAAGAACCTAAATATTAAAGCTAAAACCCTACAGCTTTTAAAGGAAAACGGAAGGGTGCATCTTCATGACCTTGGTGTTAGTAGTTTTTACATAGGACACCAAAATAGAGGTAACAAAGGAAAAAAATAGATAAATCAGACTTCATTCAAATTAAAAACTTTTGTGCTTCAATGGATATGAAGAAAGTGAAAACATAAAGCATGGGTGAACCTTGAAAACATTATGCTAAATGAAATAAGCCAGACACAAAAGAATGAATATTACACAATTCCATTTATATGAAATATCAATAGTAACCAAATTCATAGAGACACAAAGTAGATTGGAGTTGACCAGGATCTAGGAAAGGGAGAGAATAGGGAGTTAATGCTTAATGGATACAGAGTTTTTCTTTGGAGTGATAAATATGTTTTGAAAATAGGTGTTGATATGGTTGCATAACATTGTGAATATAATTAATGCTATGCAATTGTACAATTATGAGTGGTTAAAGAGGCAGGCTTCATATTATGCATATTCCACCACAATTTTTAAAAATTAGTGAAATATACCAAAAACCATGGAATGGTACACTTTAAATGAATGAATTGTATGGTAAGTGAATGATATCTCGATAAAGCTGTTTTTACAAAAACATACTAATAGTCTGACTAGTTTAGGTTATTTATAAGAGAGAGATCTATTTCTTCTTTTTTTCTTTCATAATAACTTCTAGCAGTTTCCTAAGCTTCCATCTTAGGAAACTAGAAAAAGAGGAGCAAATTAAATTCAAAGTAAGCAGAAAAAAAGAAAGAATAAAAATCTGATCAGAGATGAATTAAATTGAAAATAGGAAATTAATAGGAATTCAAAAGCTGGTTCTTTAAAAAGATCAATAATATTGATAAATCTTTAGCCAGTCTACCAAGAAAAAAAAGAAAAAAGAAATAAATTACTAATAATCAAGAATGAAAGAGAGGTCATCACTACTGATCCCATGGACAGGTATAATAGGAAATACTATGAATGACTCTTTGTCAACAAATTTGATAACTTGGGTATAATGGACGAATTCTTTTAAAGACACAATCTACTAAAAGTCACACAGGGAGAAATATATCATCTGGATAGGTGTGTATCTATTAAAGAAATTTTATCAATATTTAATAACTTTCTGAAATAGAAAGCACCAAGCTCAGATTTTCTCTTTTTCCAAATTGGACCCTGCCAGTTCTTTCTACCTATCACATTTCAGAATTCTTATACTTTACTATTCTGCTTGCTCTCTGCTGGATGTGCTCCAGTTGATAAGAGTGCTCCATTCTAAGGAGTGTTTCTCTAGATATGATCTGATCCACAGAATGGAACTACCACATGAAATGATTAAATGCTCATAATAGCCCTGTGATTTATACATGTGTTTCTTTTCTGCAAGTAAGTAAGCCTAGGCCTTGACAGATGAAGAAATGTTCCCAAAATCATAGAATAAGTGGAAGAACTGAGTTTTAAGTCCAGTTCAGGTTCAACGCCTGCAAAGCCATGCTCTTTTTATTAATAATTATGTCAATATTAGTAAACTTGATAACTACAACTTATTGCATAGGTACTGCATACTCAACACTGTACTTAGTACTTAAGCTCCCACCTACCTAAGCCTCACAGAAGACTTGTGATGTAGGGTGTACTGTTTTCACAAATGAGGGAACTAAAGATGAGGAAATTCAAATCATTTGCTAAAGGCCTCTGAGAGAGTAGTGTAGAGTCAAGATTTAAAACCAAATGTGATTCTAAAGACTGTTCTCTTAAATACTATATTGTTCTGTTTATGCCATTCCATGATGTAGTTGATGTATTAGTAATTAGGAGCACAACTAACATTTTAGTGTTCTAGGTCCATATTAAATACTTTGTATGATTAAAAAGTTATAATTTGCAATTATCCCTAAATTATTATTAACTTTTCTTTCGTTTCCTTTGATACAAAAACATTGCTGATTTGACTATGTAAAAAATTTGTTTCCTTTTAGGTCCACCTCATTCATTTAACCGAGATGAGACAATAATCATTGCTTTGGCATCAGTCTCTGTATTAGCTGTTTTGATAGTTGCCTTATGCTTTGGATACAGGATGCTGACAGGTAAAAATATAGCCTTTTCTTCTGTTATTTACTTAACATGCCATTTAATCAGAATTTATTTTCTTTTTAAAAATAATTTCTGTGCTGAAAAATATCTCTGTGCTGAGGTAGCTCCCATTCTTCTCTCTTAGCAAACTTTTTTCCTCTCATTTTATGAAAAGTTTCAAACATATACAGAATATCTGTCACTCAGCTTCAACCATTATCACATCTATACATCGTCTGTAGCCGTACACCCTTCTATGCTGCTAGATTATTTTGAAGTAAATCCCAGTTATCACTTTTATCTATAAATATTTTAGTATTATCACTGAAATACAAGGATTTAAAATATGTATAACCACAATACCATTTTCACATCTAAAAATACTAACAGTAATTCTTCAGTATCATCAAATGTCCAGTTGGTTCTAATAAACCTTAGGTTTGATGAGCTTTTTAGGAAGCCAGCATCCATTCATTCATTTGAATAACTTTAATAAAACCTTCTTTAATGTTTCTGCAGTATTTCTCAGAGTTTTATACTGAGTCTGTTGCTGGAACCATCTCCCAGAATTCATCTTTCATGTTATTCATCATTCATTTTCATTTATAGATGATTCCTGGTTTAGGAAAAATAGTTTTACTCCCATTGACATTAAGCATAAATTTTGCTGCTTATCCTTCTGTAGATCTTCTTTGTAACTGTGATATATTCGAAAGTGTAACAAAGATTTTCATTTTAAGAGAACCACACATTAGTAACTTCTTTTTCCTATTTTATAGGAGACCGTAAACAAGGTCTTCACAGTATGAACATGATGGAGGCAGCAGCATCAGAGCCCTCTCTTGACCTAGATAATCTCAAACTGTTGGAGGTAAGATTGCTCTTAAGATTATGGACTATTTTTTCTGCTCTCATGGCATATCTGAGACAGTGACTTCATTACCTCACTAAGTTATTCATTCAGTTATTCAACAAGCACTTGTTGTCAGTTTTGTGCCAAGGCCTATTCTAGGCACTGAGAATATAGCTGAACAATACAGGTATCCCTTATTCTTGGGGGAGAGAGCCCGCAAGAGATTAAATAAATGAATGTACAGTTGACCCTTGAACAACACAGATTTGAACTATAGGTCACTCATACACATTTTTTTAAAATAATAGATACTATAGAACTACACCATCCACAGTTGGTTGAATCTGTGGATGCAGAACCATGGACACAGAGGAACTGTGTCTATATGGAGGATCAACTATAAGTTATATGTGAATTTTGGACTGTGTGGCTGGTCAGTACCCCTAACCCCCACATTGTTTAAGGGTCAACTGTGTATTATTTCAAGTAGTAGTAAGTGCTATGAAGGAAAATAAAGCAAATGATGTAAGAAAGTTATGGAAAAGGGATTATTAAAGAAAATATATTTAGAAAGGAGATGGAAAGTATCCTCAGAAAGGAGATAATCTTTGAGTACAGACCTGAACAGATTATGGGAATAAAGTCATGTCAGATTCTGAGAATGTGCCAGGTGAGGAGTCCATAGTAGATGCCAAATAAATATTCCTGGTCTGTGCATGTGTTATATATTGTACAGGTATATGTGGCTATTGTATTTTGTATAGAGTTAAAATTTCATTTGGTAATATGCTCAAAGTTTTACCATGATAAATGTTTTTATGATCTTTATTAGGGTAAATGAACTGTGATCCCTAAACCAGAGACTGTTAAATAATACATAACTATGATTCTCAAACCAGAGATTGTTAAATAATACATATGACAGACTTAATTATATAAAACATTTTAAGAACCTTTCATTTGGGAGAAAAATATAATTAACAAAAGTTAAAGGCAAATTTTTAAAAAGTTTTTCAGCATATAAAGAATTGATAAAGCACTGGTACAAATCAACATGAAATAAGCAGTCTATTAAAAAGGGACAAAAGAGATGAACTGTCAATTCACAAAAGAAGTGTGCCTATTTTGTATAATAAGATATCCAATTTACTAAATTGAAAAAAATACTAATTAAAACCATTAGGACTCTAGCCTGGAGTGATTAAAAGAAACACTTCTAAACATTGCTGATTTAACTTTATATTGATACAGACTTTTTAAAAGGCAGTCTTTCTGTTTGTTAAATTTTCAACTAGAAATAGTGAATGAAATAAAACAAATAAGTTTAAATGAATGATGGTAAACTCCCTAACCTCTTTTTAGTAAAAAGTCAAAGAAATCCCAAAAGCCAAACTGAAGAGAACAGTTGCATCTTACTGGGTTTTTTGTTTGTTTGTTTGAGTAATTTTTAAATTGTATCCTGGATATTGTGAATTGTTATATTGTGGAGACCCTGTGTTTTGTTAGGTTCTTCTAAAGTCTGTTCTTTTCATTGTTTGTTTTAGTAGGTGATTAGCTTGGCTTGACATACTGCAAACTCATGTCTTGAGGGAAAGTTTAGTTATTTTATCTTTAGCTGGAGTCTGTCCCATGCATTCACTGGGTTTCCCAGTCTGAATGAGTCTCCTTCCTGGGATTCTCCCTTCACTTTCCAGCAGCTGTGGTTGACCCAGATTCTATCCTCTGGTTCCTGGGGCCTGAAAGGTTGTAGGTTTTTCTATCACAATTTTAGCTCCACTGCACAGTGCAGATTTCAGCCTGCTAACAAAGCTAAAAGCTATAAAACAGGTAGCTTACCCTATGCTATTCCTTTCTTCTAAGTGTTGACTCCTCTCAGCATCTGCCTACTTTTGTTTATTCTCCAGCACTTCTAGATTATTTTTAAAATTTTGTTCAGAGTTTTTAGTTGTCACCTATGGGAAGATGATCTGGTAGTTTCATGAGGCCATGTAAGATGCCAACTGTATTAGTTTCTTGATAATGGAGTGATTTATACGAAGCAATAGAGAGCTATTGCATACATATGGATTTATATTTTATTGTTTAGTATTTGATTATTCAGTTGTAATGTGAAATAATATCTTGCTTTCTTCAAAACAAACTTACAGCTTATTGGCCGGGGTCGATATGGAGCCGTATATAAAGGATCCTTAGATGAACGTCCAGTTGCTGTAAAGGTGTTTTCCTTTGCAAACCGTCAGAATTTTATCAATGAAAAGAACATTTACAGAGTGCCTTTGATGGAACATGACAACATCGCTCGCTTTATAGTTGGAGATGAGAGAGTCACTGCAGATGGACGCATGGAGTATTTACTTGTGATGGAGTATTATCCCAATGTAAGTTATTTTTAACATATATATATATGTATGTATGTATAAACACACACACATATATATATGTATAAACTGACATTTATATTAGTGTCAATCAGATTCACAGGAGGATCCCAGTTATGTAGAGCATTGCTGGTTTGCAAACTGGTTAGTAATGGTCTACAGCGAGATAAGGATCTCAAACCAGAATGTGAATGAAACTGCTTAGTTCCTCTCTCTGTCTCTGTCTCTTTCAGCAAGGCTTTCTTGATGAAAGAGGCAGTGCTTTGAGTAACATTCATCCTGGTGCAAGCTCCTTATTCCAGACTGGTAATAAATAGTTTGTGGATGAGCACCTTGAGAACCACTCACACATACATATTTACAAAAGCCTTCTGTTTTCTACTTGTAAAAGATAACAGTATAATTTATATTTGTACTGTTAAGAGAGTGAAAGGAAAGAGTCTGAAAGACTTTTTTCCTATCTTAAGGTGATAAATTAAAAAATTTTTAAATGAAACAACCATTTATAATTTTTAGTACTGAGGAAATAAAAATTGGTAATGCTTAAACTTTCCTTCCATCTTTTCCTCCCCTCTCTACCCACAGAAATGTCTTACTTACTTTGAGATTCTGAAATGTCATAATTCATTAGATCTCCATGGAATCCTAACCATTGCAAATCCTTTATACAACTGCTAACTTGCTTCCTCATGTTCAATTAAATTAATTCCACCTTTTCCCCCCTTTTTTTCTTTTTTTCCTCCATGCAGGGATCTCTGTGCAAGTATTTAAGTCTCCATACAAGTGACTGGGTAAGCTCTTGCCGTCTGGCTCATTCTGTGACCAGAGGACTGGCTTATCTTCATACAGAATTACCACGGGGAGGTAAGATAGTGAATTCTATGCATGACACTCATGTGGGGCCAAAATTCACAAAGAGAAATTTTATTCATATCTTCAAAGTTTATTTTATATTATAGCAGATTTATTATCAGCCAGTTTTTTTTTAAGATCTGGCATGAAGAAATGTATTTGAAATGTAACAAGAAGAATAAGAAAAAGAACTTGAATATTCTTGAGGAGTCATGAATTCCATTGAGATTCTGATTAAAGCTCTCAACACTCTTCCTGTAAAGATACTTTAAAAATTGTTCTTTTGATTGTAGTTCTCAGCCTCTTTGAAGTCCATCTGTGTACCTAGTTCAAGAACCTGTTAGCTAGGCTCCATTGTATTTTCCTTGTATTTATTTTGCTTATTTAAATGAACTGCAATGCATTATCACTTCTTTAGTTTTAACTTCACATGAATTATATACGTTGATCTTAAGTATAAATTCTAAATATGTATTTTTATAAATCAGTGCTTCTCTTAGCTAGAATTAGGTATGTTCAAATCTGTCAGGGGCAAAAAATAACAGGCTTCAATGAGAGTGAAATTTTTTTCACTTCTCATGTAAAAATCTACAGACAGCTTAACATTGGTCTGGCAGCACCATGGTATTATTAGGGACCCAGGCTCCTGTATTTCTTCTCCTTACTCTTTTTGGTGGGTGGGTAATTAGATTTGTTTATTTTTTAATTTTTTTTTAACAGCAGTACTGGGGATTGAACCCAGCACCTTGTGCATGCTAGGCACACACTCTACCATTGAGCTATACCCACCCTCTCTCTTCCATTACTCTTTGTATATGGCTTATCTTTTAAAAGTCACCTCATTGTCCATCTTGCTAATTGTCAGAGAAAAAGAAAGTAGAAGAAATTGCCCCCTTTTGCCTCCATAAATCCTTTTGCTTATGCTTTGTTTCCTGGAACTTAGTCCATGCTTACCTACCACACTTAGGTGCAAGGGATGCTGAAATACAGTTTATTTTTGTTTTTTCAGCTGGATGCATGCTGCTTCAAGTAACATTGGGTTCTGTTACTAAATAGGAAGAGGAGAATGCCTGGTGGGGGTGGAGGGGTCAGTCTTTGCTAGTGTTTCAGAACTGTGTGGTTGTGTTCCTTGCCAAAGCTACCGTTTTCTTCAGCCTTTTGCACTTTTTTGCTTAAAGCATTTTTGCTTTTTCACTTTGTTCAAAATACACTTCACATCACAGGCACTTTTTAATTAGCTTTGCTGTGAAAATCTATCTTTGCTCTTTCATCCCTTAAAGCATTTTCTTGTCATACCAGGCTACAGAAACAAGCCCAGAACATTGTTTTTCAGTTTCTCTGACCTCTGTAGTGAAGAGAATATTGCATCAATTTCTTAGATCTTTGTTCCGTTGTATAATAGCATGGATCATCTCTTCTAGCTGCTACTTCATATATAAATAATTCCTCCTGAATAATTTATCAGTTCATTTATCTTGACATCTTGCTTTTCCTGAATACAAAATTGACCAATGTTATTGCCTATGTCAGCAACTTGATGCACTTACTTTAGTCCTTTAGCACATTAACCATTTGGACGTGTTTCCTTACTCTTAAATGTCATTATAACTCCTTTAAAGAGCTGGCTTAGCGCAGAACTTAAAATACCATCCTAATCCCCCCTTTCATGCGTACATGATTCAGCAAGACTCCAAGCCAAACATTGGCTGAAAAGAATGGTTGTCATCAAATATGAGTTTTATTTAAACACAGTTATTATTCTAAACATTACCTAGTATTATCACTAAATATTTAACCTTTTTTTAAAAACTGAGTATTTATATGCTATGTAAAAAGCATACGTTTGGTAGGTATTTGAATTTTGGGTTTTATCTAATTATTTAAAAATATTCCAGCTATCCTATACTATTTTAAAACATTTGAAGTGTTATTTTACTTTTTTCAGAGTACTCTGTTCTTCATGGTATCTTCAGATGCAACTTTGCTGTTTAGCATAGAAATTTTGTTGTAAGGAAATAGTACTGTTCAGCTATTTTTTGCTTCAGAAAAAGGAGTTGGGCCTGTTTATTTGTAATTGTTTATCCCTGTGAATTTCTTTCGTAATGATAATGTCAGTATAATTTATTATCATGAAAAAATCTAGCAAAGAACATATATAAAGCACTTAAATCTAACCAGAAAATTACTGTTAACTAGTGTATGTAACACCTTTTTGGGTCCTTGGCTCTGTGTGTGTGTGTGTGTGTGTGTAAATATCCACAGAGACACTATTTTTTCTTCAGGTTGTCTTTTTTAACATAATTAAAATAATATTATGTCCCACTTCCTTTAAGAAATTTGCCAAGTATACTACTAGTGCCCAGGACAAAATCATTATATGTTCTGCCCCTTTCTTTGCAAACTACAGCCCTCCCTGCTGCCCACCCACTGCCCTCGCACTATCACTGCCACCAATAAAAGAAAATTAAAATAAATACTGGAAGAAACTTTAAAAGGAAAAGAAGTCTCCAAAGGGCAGTCTGTAGTTTTACCGTTTGCAGTGGTGATGAATCCTATCTTGTCTCTTCTCTTCCTTTCTTCTTCGTTACTTCTTTTCTTGCTTCTTCTTTCTTTGCTTCCTCCTTCTCCTCTTTTCTTTTCATTGCTTTTTTTAGTAGTAGCAGAAGGTATTACCCTATTTTGCCCTCTGGTTGGCTATCTTACTGACTTATTTCACATCCTTCACATTATTAACCTGGTTTCCCTATCATGTGAGATATTTTAGTTAAATATTCATTTGGTATTGGTATGCAAGCATTTTCCAGTGTGTCTATAAATGTTCTTATATAAATATCAGCTAGAGATTATACTATATATACATATGTTGTGGTTTCATCCAAAGTGAAGAATGCAACTCATTAAGAGGTTGAGTGAGCCATGTTAGTATAAACTTTGGAAGGCTGGACCAGGAAGTGAGAAGGGGAGAAAATGAGAAACAAATCAACTCTTAGAAATAGAAATTTGATAACTGCTATTTCCCCCACCCCAATTGTGTTACTGCTTTTTTCCCCTCTATATCAAAGGAATCATTATCTTCTGTCTCTAGTTTCATTGTTGGTGAAATTACATTCTAATACATATTGATGAGAGTAATGGAAGTACTGAGTCATTTTGTGCCTAAATATAAACACTCAGTGAACTTATTGACTTTGTTCTCATTGCTCTATTTCTTTGTATACCTAAGGAGTTATTTTATATTTCAGAACTTGTTCTATAGAATTATTTTCATTTCAAGAGCTATGGTTTTGTTTTAATATATGATTTATATGTAAGGTTTTCTTATAAAGAGGAAACATTTTGTTTTTGGTGAAGGACTTAGGTTAGGTACATTTTTCCAGTCAACAGCCATTTACTGTGTACCAAGCCTTTTGAATTCAGTCAAAACATGTTCTCTCTTTGCCTTTGTGAGCAAGTCATAGAATAAGTATAATAGTACTTTGCTTCTCTGTAAAATCAGAAACAGGTTTTTATATCTAGCTGAGACATACCGGCTCCTCCACTTGTTCTCCCAAAGCATTGTGAAACTATTTTTGGTTTGATCTGAAGAACTGTGGTGGGCTTAGAGACATGGCTAAACCTCAGGGCAAAACTGGGATATTTTGTTACAAGTTTGATTTGTTAAGCTGTAGAAGAATGGTATAAAATACATACACAAATTTTGGAGCCATGTCAGTTTTTCAGTGATGATAATTTTAGATAGGTTGACTTTTTGTTGTTGTTTATACCAAATATTTCTTTCTCTATTGCCTTCTTTTGCTACCCTAGAAATGAAGAGAAAAAGAATTATATGTTAAAATTAGAAGCAACAGCATGGTGGCTATTAATTGCAGCTGAATATTTAAAGCTTAATTAATTATATTTGCAGCAAGAGTTATGTTTTGAAATAGTGAAAATAGTGAGGATTGTGAGTTGGAATTTTGATTTCTTATGTCCTTTTTTGTTATTAGAGAAATTAATGAGCAGAAAAATAACACTATATTTTATATTTATGTAGCCTCTGCATATATTACCTGCATGCTCATTTCATGTCCAGTAGTGCTATTTAAGCATTAATGAATATTTGAAATTATTCAACAGATCATTATAAACCTGCAATTTCCCATCGAGATTTAAACAGCAGAAACGTTCTGGTGAAAAATGATGGAACCTGTGTTATTAGTGACTTTGGGTTGTCCATGAGGCTAACTGGAAATAGACTGGTGCGCCCAGGGGAAGAAGATAATGCAGCTATAAGTGAGGTGGGTGTATACAAAAGGTATCACACTGACATACTTTGAAAACATAGTAAATTGCATTTAAAAATCCACTAAGTACTCAGGACAATTATTCTTATATGCTACCAATTAATAACATCTTAGGAATTACAAAATTAAGACAAAGAAGACATTGCATAAAAGTCTATCAATTCATTATGGAAATCACTGCCTTTCCGTCTCATTTTTTAATTTTAATTTTTATTTTTTATTCTTTTTAATTTTCATTTATTTTGTAGGGGGAGGTAATTAGGTTTATTTATTAATTTATTTATGTTTAGAGGAGGTACTGGGAATTGAACCTAGTGCCTTGTGCATGCTAAGCATGCACTCTACCACTTGAGCTATACCCTCCCCCTCTCATTTTTGACAAGCATTAAGAGGAAGTTTGTAGGAACTGATTTTTGATGAGTACAATTACCAAGTTTGAGATATGACACTAACCTTCTGCATAATCACTGTTACAATGTAGAACATATCCTTCCTGACTTTTTTCTCTCCAATCACATACATGTCCATACATATATATAGTTGTGAATTTTTCAAAATAGTAAATGGTGTACATATTTGTTTTGTAGTTTTCTCATGTCTTACAGATTATCTTTACATTAACATATATAGGAATGTCTAGCTCATTCTTTTTGATTGATGAATACTATTCAATAGGATGTTTTTTAACAGTTTAATTATTTAAGAAGGATATTTTATAGATACAAAAATCACTATGGAAAGGTTCAGTGAGCTTAGGTTCAAATAACATATTGACATGTTGTTGACCTGAAATTTATGTATAACTTCTGGTCTGATGTATGCCCTTCAGAATATGCTACATTTTGTTTCTGAAAATTATCTCTCCTAATTTATCAGGTTGGCACAATCAGATACATGGCACCAGAAGTACTGGAAGGAGCTGTGAACCTGAGGGACTGTGAATCAGCTTTGAAGCAAGTAGACATGTATGCACTTGGACTAATCTATTGGGAGATATTTATGAGATGTACAGACCTCTTCCCAGGTAAGGAAACTGCTGTCGAAGTTGAGACATGGTTGGAAGTGAAGCAGTTACTTCTTTTTTTTTTTTTTTTCCCACTTACATTAAATAAGTCAACTTTTTTACTTTCATTTAAACGTTTAGTTCATTGCCATCTAGTGTTCACAAACATTATTAGCAGAAGGATGCGAATCAGGAAACACTTTTTAGAAAGAACTCCAGGTTTGCTTCTGAGTGCAGTGTAATTAATTGTTCATAATAGCTTATCTGTGTTCAGTTGTGTCTCTGATTGCTTTAGCATCGTTGTTTTCCTTATGCACCCTCTGAGCAGTTGATAAGCTATGCTTAACAGTGTTCTCTGAACTGACCCAGTAGAGAATTAGAAGGAATGAATCATCCATTGGAACACTTTTTTTTCTTCCTTTCCTTTCTTTTTTTTAGTTTTCATTCGCTTTTCTTCCTTTCTCTCTCTCTTTTTTTAAGTCTCCCTTCTTGTCTTCCTGCCTTCCTTCCTTTCATAAAAGAACACTCATTTAATATGAATGCTTGTTTGAGGCTAACCTGAAATAGCTAAGTGAGTTTATATTTTTTCTCTTTTTGTTAAAATTACATCACCGTCATTATTGTCATATAAAAACTTTAGCTACCAATATATACATTGCATTCGTCTAGATGGGGTATAAAATTATTTGACATATATGGTCTCTAGAGGAATAACGCCATTAAAAGCATAGAAAAAGGAAAAACAGTCAATTTATTTAATAAAAACACATTAGTAGTAGGGTTGAAATATTTTGCTTTAACAACAGGATTTAACAATAGCTTACAATTCTAAAACAATACAACAAATTAATAATTATTTAGATTACTTACAAGTCAATCAGTTATTATTAGAAATATAGCTTACGGTTAACTGAAAGTACAGAGTACTCAATTGAAGTGTCTTTCTGTAAATGACAGTGATTGCAATAGTAGTACATATTATTGGAACCTTGGAACTTTTGGAACTTTCAGTTTCTATTATTGGAGCTTTGGCCATAGATTTTTTTTAGAAATCCTAATCGAGAATTTTTGAGTTTCAGAAGTATGTCTGACAAATGATTCTTATATCAGCGTTAGTACATTGCTATCAGTAACATTTTTTTTTTAACAACTGCATTCAAAGAATACTGCTTTTGGTCTCAAATAATAAAGAGCAATATCAGGTGTTCGAAAAGGGAAAGGTAATTAAATCTTGTTTGAAGGAGATTATTTTAGCAGAATGTAGTATGAACTGAAATAGTACTAAGAAGAAGTTAAAAAATGGAAAAAGAAGTTGGGGTTACTTTTTAATGGCCACAGAGTTTCACTTTGAGAAGATGGAAAAAGTTCTGGAGATGGATGGTGGTGATCTATGTACAACATTGTGAATGCACTTAGTGCCATACAACTGTACACTTAAAAATGGTTAAAGTGGTAAATTTATGTTATGTATACTTAACCACAATTAAAAATAAAAATAAAGGAAAAATTAAGAGAGTCACATTAAGATACCCCATAATCTTGGATATGGTAATGGGGAAGAAGAAGGATATTGTGAGAGAAAATGTAGAGAAGGAATCTGTTGTTTTCATTAGATATTGGAAGAAAGTCTAGGAAATTGAGAAATTTTCAGAGATCTGAGAAATAGGGTAGCAGCCAGGAGCTTAGGAAAAAATACTAGTTTGCATTGGAAAGGTAAGTTAATTATGGGAACTTTTGGATGGGATATTGATAGACAATTGAAGATTTTTTTTTAAGACTTTAAAAGAATGAAGAATTTAAAATTAAAATGATTATTTGGGAATTGTCTACATAGAGATAGTAGTTAAGAAGTTAAGAATGGATTCACTCACCAAAGAGAACAAATTAAGAGAGAAGGGTGAATAAACACTGAATACTGGCTCCCCTCCTTCTCTACCACATGTGGGTAGTGAAAAAGACAAATGCGAAGAAAAATAGTGAGAAAACTGAGAAATCACTGTATCTTAGAAGTCATCGTTAGAGACTGATGGCAATAGTTGTTAATTGAAAGGTCAAAAAATAGAACTGAAGAATGATCTTTGAATTTCAATAGGAGAAATTATTGGTATTCTTAGAGGAGTTTCTGTGAAACAGAGAAGACAGAAATATTACAGAATGTAGGAGGGAAAACTAAGAAAGCACAGGCAGAGGATACAGGGCACTCTTAGAAATTTTAACAATGAAATGAGGTGTGAGTTGGGAAGAAGATATCCCATAAACATATTAATAAACCTAAAGAATAGCATATAATAATGATAAAATTCTTACTAACTTTTTTAAACTTCTGTGATATAACTCCAAGTGCAGCACATGCTTTATTATTAAAAGAAAGCTGCTTCTCTGTAAAATATTAACAATATAAATAAATTAGGTGTCTTTTACAAAGAAAGAGAAGTAAAGAAGGAAAGAGGAAGGAAAAAAAGGCAAGAGAAAGAAAAAGGAAGAATAAGAACAAGATTATTTAAGAAAGGGACTAAAACATTCCTAACTGCTTAGAGGCATAATTAGGAGAGAAGCAGGTAACGGTGTCTGATATTCCTAGATATTTGGTCCATTTTGGACAGTTTGAAAGAAGATGGGATTCTCAAACTTCCACTGAGCAATCTAGTGACTATAAAGTTTTAAGGAAATCCAGTAGGACTAGTATCTTCCAGGATGATGATGTCCTTAACATTCATCTTTGTGTCCCCAGTGCCTAATACTAAGTTAGCTCTGAACAAGTATCTATTGAACAACTAGATTTAGAACTATGAAGATTTAGTAGAAATTGGGTAATTCTTAATGTCATTCCATTAATAAAACAAGATTGTGGAAGAAAAAAAACAAAAATAAGATTGTGCATCAGTTTTTCTTTAGCAAGTTTCCTAATTATCATTTAGTTCTGACCAAAACAAATAAATAAAGTTGTAAATTTTTAATTATTCTACTGGAAAAAAAACATTTGGAAGGTATGTATGTATTGTTTATATGTCTCAGAGAGACAGAAGAGATATACTAGTAAGTATCTTACAGTTCACAGATGGTATGGAATATGATTTATCATATAAGGTTTCATGAATAAAAGTGATACACTACCTGGCAGGATTAAATAGTTTTGTCTTTCAAGTACAAAGTTGATGGTTATTAATCAAAAATAAGTGTCTGCTTAAATGTTTATACAATATGTGAAAACAGTTGTGTTTATTTAAAATATTAGTACATATACATTTATTTAAAATATATAGTACATAAACTATACAATTACTATTTATAAAATTTTTTTAATATTGGTGGAGAACAGGTGTTTATAATTGTTTTTGAATACTCAGATTGAAACAAAACTTCAATTACATGTTTTGTAATGTACTTTCTTTCTGAGTCATTGTAACCTTTGTAATATCTCCATGTGAGTGAGATAAAGAAGGCAGACATTGCCATTTTGCTGACAGGAAAACTGAACCACAGGATAGTTTAATGATTTTTCCACGGTAGAGATGAAGCCAGGATTAGAACCTAAGTGCCTTATCCTCCATCCTGGTATTCTTCCTTCTAATTTATCCTGTCATTCTAATGGATTGGGATGAGGGGCAAGGAGACAAGGAAGAGTATTTCTCTTGTGTTCTTTGCCAGGATTTTGACTTAACTATTGGTTTTCTGAGTATTTCTCTCAGAGGTCTTTGTGGCTCAGTATGTTTATTAAGTTTAATTTGATCACATTTTGTAAAAAATCATAAGCCTCTTATCACAAGCAACTGCATATTGGTGATGAATAGGGTTATTAAACAGTGGTAGAGTAGTCGATGATTTTTTTAAATCCTTAATATAGATACTGCTAATTAAGAAGAAATTTTGAAAAAATTGATACTTCTTTTTCTGTCAACTAATCATTATCTTAAAAATTTTTGTGACATTTGATAAATCTGGCTAGACTATAATAGAGCCAGTGATATGATGAGACATGACTATACAGCTCACCCACTTATATTTAGTTCTATAGACTTGTTTGTTGTACTAGATCTTGGACTTTCTCCCCATATTCACCGCCCTCAATCCCTGTGTGGGATGAAAATTCGGGTGTATTTTTAAGTGTTAAACCTTATGTGTACAATAATGTCCCCCTGCCAAATTCAGTAATACTAGAACCATTTAAAAATAGCTGTCTATTATTGAAACAACTATTTATCAACAAACATTTATCAAACAGAAACTAAGCTAATAAAGCATTTATTAATAATGCATAAAACCCACAATAGGATCTAAGATTTCCAAATGTGCCTGAAACAATTTTAAAAATAAGATTGTGACACAATTTATTTACTTACTTGATATACTCCTGTTATTCTATCATTTTATGATAACTAGAAATTTTACTTTATTCTTTATTTAAAAAAAAATACACAGGTGAATCTGTACCGGAATACCAGATGGCTTTTCAGACAGAAGTTGGAAACCATCCCACTTTTGAAGATATGCAGGTTCTGGTGTCTAGGGAAAAACAGAGACCCAAGTTCCCAGAAGCTTGGAAAGAAAATAGCCTGGTAAGGAAAAACTAAGTTATTAAAAAATAGAACTTATGACTCAATCTGTTTTACTGTTGTTTGAAGCAAAATAGACTGTTAATAATGTTTATAGTTTTTAGAGTTTACTAATGCCAGGAGTCCAACTTACCTGATTTATATGATGTTATAACACTTTCAAATTTGGGGGAGGGGGGTTAGTTTCAGTTTTCTTCAAGCATAAAGTACTGTTTAGAGAGACTAACTATTGTGTCTGAAGTTTGCCACATTGGATAAGATCTGGAATAATTAACATGGTAATATTTTAAACATTATTGAAATTCCATTTCATTCTCTTGAGAGTGGGACCAAAAATGTTAATTAGCACAGACTTACATGTTCAATGGCTAATAGAAATTTAAACTACATGAAAAAGAAACCAAGGTTCAGCCTATAAATTCTGTTTATTAAAAATGCAGTTCACAACACAAATATTTTCAAAGGCTCCTGCCATTTCAGTAAATTGTTGCTACAACACTAGAAACATTTACACACATACACACCTGCACACACTCTTTCTCTCATATTTTTTTTACACAAGTAGAATCACCTCATTATCCACTATCATTTCTGAAGCTAATTTTTTTACTTTCAGTTTTTCATGTCAGTACCTATAGATGTATCTCTCTCTTCATTTGGTCAGTGTTCCATTATATATCATCATTATTGAATTACCCTTTACTGATGGCAGTACCTGTATTTCTTATTTTAAACAACTTTTTAAAAGCATTAAAGTTCTGCCTATACGTGGTAAACAAAATAAGATTAAATAGAGTAGCTGAAATAGGAAATGAAAAAGGAAAAGACTACCTGCTCCTATCACCAGTCTTCAAAATTAATTCCTGTTAATTCCTGTTAACAGTGTTCTTAGGTTTTTGTTTCTAAATTTTCTCTTCTAGGAGTTACCATTATAACTTTAAATACTACGTTTATTCTTATTTCTTGTTATCTCTCATTTACTCTCTTGTAGTTTTATAATACTGTATCTATCATTAATTTGTTTTATATACAGATTGATCTAAAATTTTTAATGAAATAAAAACATCAGAATTTTACAGAATTATGATTATGTGAACATCCACTGCACAATATGATAATTGTGCTTGGATTCACAGAGAAGGAAGTAAACATCCTGTTAGTTACTGTAAGCCCCTATCACTTGAGGAAGAATGTTTCAAAAGTCACCATCCATTGGATTCTCTTTTGGCCTTATTTCTTCCTCCCTCCCTCCTTTCCTTCCTTCTTTCTTGTTTATAGGTTCTACTAAGAAGCAACATTTTATTTTATTTTTTTAATTGAAGTATAGTTAATTTACAATATTATATTAGCTTCAGGCATACAGCATAGCAATTCAGTATTTTTATAGACTGTATTCCATTAAAAGTTATTACAAGAAAACGGCTGTAAATGCCTGTGCTATACAATATATCCTTCTTGCTGATCTACTTTATACGTAGTAGTTTGTATCTCTTAATCCCGTACCCTTATCCTGCCCCTCTCCCTAGGGGTAACCGCTAGTTTGTTTTCTGTAGCTGTGACTGTTTCCATCTTGCTATATATTCATTTATGTTTTAGATTTCACATATAAGGGATATCATACAGTATTTGTCTTTCTTTAACTTCACAAAGTACAGTATTCTCTAGATCCATCCACGTTGCTACAAATGGCAGAATTTCATTCTTTTCTATGGATGAGTAATAGTCCGTTTTGTGTGTGTGTGTATGTGTGTGTGTGTGTATACATATACACATACCACATCTTTATCCATTTGAGAAACATTTTTTTCTAAATATCATGTCATTCTTTTTCTCAAAAGTCGTTTTTTTCTTTGATAAAGTTCTTTATGTAATGTATACGAATGTGTGAGTGACAGTAGATGTTGTGTCCTTGCACATTGAAAAATGTTTCTATCTTGCTGACATACTTGAGTAATAATTTGGTTGGGTAATGGTTTCAAGATCAAGATCATTTTTCTCATGACTTTGAAACTACTGCTTCACTGTATTCTAGCATCCAGATGTGTTCATGAGAATACCAGTGCCAGCTAGTCTCATTATATTGTTTTTTATCTGTTTTATCCTCTTGTTTTCTCTATAAGCTTTTAAACTTTTTACTTTATCATTAGAAGTATGACATTTCACCTGGGTATATTTAAGCATGGATCTTTTCACACATTTTGCTTCACACGGGACAGGTTTTCAGCTTGAAAATTCAGAAATTTCAATTCAGAGGAATTTTCTTACGTTATTTTAAAAATTATTTCTTCCATTTCTTCTTTCTGTTATTCCCATCAGACAAATACTGGACCTCCTGACATTCAAGGTCTAACTTTTTTCTTGTATTTTTCATCTGCTTTTTCGCTGTACATTGTTCAAGATATACTCACCTTTACCTTTCAAATCACTCATTTATTTTTTACCTTTACCACTCTATTAGTTATCTGTTCATTAAAATCTTACTTTCCAAAATCATAATTTCTATAATTCTGTTTGCTTTTTACATAGCAATCTCTTCTTGTTTTAAGACTGTAATAGGGATTTGATTACCTCTGAAGATGTAAATTAGAATTTTTGATACTTTATGTAAGTAATTTTCTTGATTATAAAGAACAAAATGAAAAATTTTTTTTCATTAAGTAATGTAAGTCATTTTATTATGTTTTCACATTTTCCTTTTTAACTGTCTTGGTGAGATTAGAATATTTTCATTCTGGATTCTGGAGTGGCAGCATGTCAGAAAGAAGCTGGAGAGATGCTTTGTTTCCATATAGATTTAGATTGAGTATTTTTCCATTGGTCATCTTTATTAGTAGATTACCTTCAAGGAAGGCTTCTGCTTCAAATTAGGGTGAAACCTTTAAGTCTGAGACAGTTGAAGACGTATTGCAAGTACAAATGCCCAAGATTCCCTCCAAACTGTGGTCCCTGTTATGAGAACTGGGGCAGATTTTTAAGAGGTCCCTAACCAGGATTCATTAGATGTGCCATCCTCACAGTAAAACATCCCTCAAAGAAAAATCTCTTTGTGAAATATCATATAGTAAAGTACTTCATCTTCCTTCAGTTTTATTTCACCAGAGAAACTGGACTCCTTATTTTGAAGTCTCTTTTGGCAACCCTGCCATTACAGGATATGCATCATATGCATATTTACCTGAAAACTTTTTACTCCCAATTTAGACTTGGTTGCTAAGAAGCACTAAGTAGTACTTGGTTCACTTCCAGTGAATCCATTTAAATCTAATGTGCTACAGTCAATACAACTGCTGCTTCTATGCAATGACGATCTAGTACTAGAGTTAGATAGCAAATGAATAGCTTATAGAAAGAGAGAAATGCCCTCCTTTTTAAATGAAGACATTTTTGCTTCATAGTTGCATTGAAATTAAAAAACATTTTTGTAGTAACAAAACTCACAATCTTTTAAAATATTAGTGAATGTAAAATCTGGTTTTAAAAACTTCCAGAGACGCAGTCAATAAAGGACAGGAAGAGTAGTTTCCTGATAAAATGAAAGTACAGAAAATAGTCTGAGGGAAATACATGAAAATGTATACATCTTCAGTTGCTTGTATTTGCATTTTAAAAATATTGACTCGTACTAATATAGATTTATAATTATTGTTTTATGCATTTGTTTTAAATTATATAGAAAAAATAGGAGTCACAGACTAAAAAATTCAATGATACTGGTTTTTATGTTTACCTATATAGTTACTTTTACCAGTGTTCTTTAGTTCTTTAAATGGCTTCAAGTTATTATCTACTGTCCTTTCACTTGAGCCTGAATGATTCCCTTTAGCATTTCTTACAAGACAGGTCTGCTAGCAACAAACCCCCTTAGCTTTTATCTGGAATATCTTAATTTCTCTTTTGTTATTAAAGGGTAGTTTTGCTTAATATAGAATTCTTGGGTATTCTATGAAAACACTTGTTAGGGGTGTGTAGATTCATTTCTTTTACTAAATTTGGGGAGTTTTGAACCATTATTTCTTCAAATATTCTTTTTGCTCCATTTTCTCTTCTCTCCTCCCGAGGCTCTCATTTTATATCTTTTGATATGATTAATGGTGCCTAAAGAGTCTTTTAGGCTGTGTTCGTTTCCTTCATTCTTTTTTTGTTTCGATTTCTCAGACTGGATAATTTTTTTTCTACCTTCAAAGTTTACTATTTCTTCTCTTTGCTCAGATATGCTGTTGTACCACTCTAGTGAATTTTTCATTTCAGTTTTTGTACTTTTGAGCTCCCAAGTGTCATTGCTTTTTATAATTTCTGTCTCTTTATTGCTATTCTCCATTTGTTGAGAAATTGTTTTCTTGGTTTCCTTAGTTCTTTGAGCATATTCAGTCTTTGTCTGGTAACTCCATTGTCTGTATTTCCTGAGGGACAGTATGTGTTAATTTTTGTTTCTGTGAATGGTGCATACTTTTCTTTCTTCGTATGCTTTGTAATTTTTTGTTTAAAACTGTATGTTTTGAATATCACTGTGGGCAAAAAGGAAACAAAAGGAAAAAAAAAGAAAACACTGTCCAGGTCTTTGCAGATTGGCTCTGTGTTGGAGCCCTCTTTTAACACATATTCAGGCCTTTTACGGTTCTACCTTAGCTTTTACTGCCTACTAGTGTTGAGCCTACAGAACAGCCAGTTATGGAAGCTTACCGTCTTTACTGAACATGCATCCTGCTCTGGACCTGTGTGTGGTTTTCTGGGTTCCCCAGTATATCCAGAAGCTTATCAATGCCCTTATTCTCCAGTTTCTCAAATCTGCTTTTCCTTCCTGACTTTCAGCATTTCTGTTGTGTGCCTCAACTACTGTATTTTGCCCAAAGCTATAGCACTTCTTTATTTGGCTTTCAGTGTTTCCAAGGAATGTTCTCCTCTTAGTCATGGCTGCTTTCCTGTCCTGAGAGAATACTGAGTTAGCAGAGCAAAGATAGGCCTCTTGTATTGGTCCTTCAGGGAACTCACAGATGTGTCAAAAC